CACCAGTCTAGTCAGGGTAATTAAGCAATAGAAGAATCATAGAAGATGAACAACCAACTCTGCTTGGAAGATTCCTAAATGTTCCACCTATGAGTTCACTTTCATTAGAATGTTCAAGTAAGGAGTTTACCAGTTACAAAAGATAAGCACTGAGAAAGCCTCCCAAGAAAAAAGAGCATGCATTTAAGAAGACAGCATGTACTTAGGAGAAAGAGAATTCAATTAAGATCAATGAGCTTGTGTCAAATGCTTACTCTGAACATTTGCTAAGATAATACCTAAACAAGACAATTGTTCTCTGCAGTGAGAACAGGCCCTGTGACTTACGTTCTGTATCTTCAGCTTTATAGTTTATTCAGGTTTTCATAGGTTTATGATTTCAAATTATAGTTTGGGTACACCATTTTACTTAAGGCAACAGATACGACAAGATCTGCTACGTGAATTTGTTTTACTGGCGTTGAACGTAGAGTCTGCTACGTGAATTTGTTTTACTGGCGTTGAACGTAGAGTTTGAAACTATAGTTCTAAACTTTTGAAGAGTTTGTAATAATGTACATATTCATAAATTCCAGTGATTTTGTAGTTTGGAATCCCTCCTGTAGTTTGATTTCTTTAAACTTTTTTTTTTTTTTTTTTTTTTTTTTTTAATGAAAAAGAGTGTCTGCAAGTGTGTGTGAGAGAGAAAATCCTTAACCGGTTCTCATGCTGCTATCCCCTTTCTCTAGTCCTCCAGCTCCTCAGGATCCTGGGTTTCTTTGTGCACATTTTCAGCATGTTTTCAGGCAGACCAGTGATCCAAACTCATGATCAGCCTTGTGGCTTCCAGCACCTCAGTCTGGTATACCATGGATTGTGCCACCTTAAACTAAGCCTAACTGGATTTTTGAAATTTCAAACAAAGTGCGTACAATATTGATGTATTTTTCTTACACTTAAAACCGGAGTGACTGGGGACCAGCAGTCAGCATAATGGCTATGTTGCTGGACTCCCATGTAGTTGACTACAGTTGAAGTCCCAGACCCAGTGGCTTAAACTCACACCACGGGGCACGTGTGCATGCGTGCCCAAGATCCCGAGAGGAGAATGGAGAAGAGGGGATTGTGGCGTGGCCATGCCCCCTGGGGGGTAATTTCTCGCTTTCTGTCTCTCTGTCTTTGTCTTTCTGGAGAGCGCATGTGCCCTATAGTGACAAGAAAAAAAAAAAAAACAGAATGCCTGTTAATTGTGGAAATAAGAAATTGCATTTCTTTTGTTCCATAAATATGCATGACTTTGACTTCTGTTAATTTTCTGAGTTATTTCAGAAGGAAACATGTCCAGTGATTCCATTTGGTACCTTGAGTAGATTTCACATGTTTAATTTTGTTTTGTCAAAATCAAAAAGTAGCATTTAAAAATAGTTTTTAAAGAATATGTTCTCTTTGGGGCCGGCAGGTGATGTGGTGATTAAAGGTGCTGGACACCTACATGGCCAACCGCAGTTCGAGTCCCAGACCTGTTGGCCTGCTTTCTCACTTTATCTCTCTTTTTCCTTCTCTCTCTCTCACACACACACACACACACACACACTCTGTCCCTCTCCAGTCAATATTTTTAAAAATATATATTCTCTTCTTATTTTTTAGGTTTTTGCAATAGGGTGTGTGCACTCACTGAAGAGAAACAGAAAGAAAATGAGAGGGAAAGTGAGAAATCATCCCCCTGCTCTTGGGATTTTGTGCAAGCATGCATGCACAAATGGTGGCAATCCCAAACTGCCTGGTCTGGGACCAGAACTGTGGTTGACCATATGGGAGTCCAGAGCCTTAATTAACCATGCTTTTTGCTGGTCCCGCCCAAAACGTATTCATTTTAAAGAAAGTGTCTCACTCTTGTGCTCTCCCTGCCTCAGCTTCCCAACTGGGAAGAGACGCTTGCACTACATGTGCACCCAGATCTGCTTTATACATGGTCTCACCATGTTGCTCAGGTCAGCATAGGGTTCTTCACCCACTGTCTGGGCTTCCCCAAGTCTCTGGGATTACAGGCTCACGCCTTAGTACTGGGCTTTTAGGTTGTACCGGGAATCGAACCTAGAACTTCCATGTGGTCCCAACTCTGAAGCACAGCATTTTAGCAGTATGTGCCTCTGCAGCTGGGCCCATATTTAAAAATACAAAAGTCAGTATAGGCAGGTACATAAAAGTGAATTTGGGGGTTTTAACATTTTATTGTCATTTTTAAAATCAAATATATTGGTGGAAAAAAGAGAAATATTAGACTTGGAAGCAGATTTTCCAAATTTGAATATAAAAAGAAGGACCCTTTAAAATTTTGTTGGAAAAAGCATACAACGTGTGAAGACAGTGAGAGTGAGTGTGCATGAGTGAGTAAGTGAGTGAAATAATGCAGTTTCTCGGACCTGGTGTGATTCCCTCGCACGACGACTGTGGACATTGCTCACGTTCTTCATTGGCACTCTTCCCCAGTGTATTGTGCACTTTGGTGTCTCTCACTAATTTCTAAGGCTCTCTGTAGTCTTGGATCCCTGATCTCCTTCTTGATTTTTGTTTCATTTCACCGATATTAAGTGCTAACTACCTTCACTATAGCATCTTAAAAAGCTTGTGCTCAGTCTCTGCCTCTCAGTATTCTCACCATATCTGTCCCTTTCTATTTCTCCCCACATCTGCAGAGTGTCATGTATCTTCCTAGAGCCCACATACTCTTACCTCCTTTGCCGATCTTCAGGTGGTGTTCTCTCTGAACAGAACACCAAAGAGAAGTGCTCCACTTTACTGAGTTTTATTTTTTTTTATTATATATTTTTTGAGAGGTTTTTGCTATAGGGCACGTGCGTTCACCAGACAGACAGACACAGAGAGACAGAAAGTGAGAAATCACTCTCCCAGGGGGGATGGCCATGCCACAATCCCTTCTCCTCCATTCTCCTCTCGGGATCTTGGGCATGCACACACACACGCCCGGTGTGATTTTTCAGCCACCGGGTCTGGGACGCGAACCGCGATCGACTGCGTGGGAGTCCAGCGACATAGCCATTATGCTAACTGCTGGTCCCCCGAGTTAGTATGAATCACAGCTGACTTCTCAGCCAGGACAAAATTTCAACAGCCTATCTATGATTAAGTACCGATGTGACACCTCAGCTTCCTCTCCCGTTATATTCCTTCACACCAAAAACCGTTCTTCTGGAACATACATTGTTCTCCCTCTCTGCCTTGATTTATGCCCTTTTGCTTAGATTATGGGACTTGTTGTTGTTGTTACTATGTGCCAAAAGCTAGGTAAAAATTTCACTGAAATTTTTCCTTAGTTCACAAGCAGTACAGTTCCTTTCCCAAATAACAGGTGAGGAAATTCAGCATAATAAAGTTTAATAACTCATTTCCTGTCACTGATTCATTTCTGTAAAGCACTGTTTGGCCCTACTGAGCATCACTTCAAATCCAGTGTCATGCTATAAAGAAGCATGTTTTGATCAATATGGTTCAAGATTTTGATGATGTAAATACTTTGAAATAGACATTCCTTTTTCCTTGAATCAAAAATCATACTAATCTTTCAAGTGACCTCAACTTCAGTGGAACCCCCCAGTAGTTCTAGTGAGAAGCTTGGCTTTAGGTTTCACATCTACAGGAACTTTGACTTGCTCCTCAGTGTAAGATCCCTGGATCAGCCAGGAACAGCATCACCCAGAATTTGTCACCAATGCAGACTCTAGTTGCACATCAGGCTTCCTGAGTCAGAATCTGCATTTTAGTTTGAGCAAGCCTTCAATGGTTCACATGCACTGTAAAGTTTGAAAATGAATTCACTACATACATATTTCTTTCGTTTTTTTTTTGTTTTGTTATTCACAGCAACTAATTTTTATTCATTTGCTTGACATTTCCTTAACAGAAGGGCTAAAATGTTATTTATAACTGTCATGGAAAGTGATTAGAATAATACTTCCCATATGGTTGACAATTGGTACATCTTCATTAAATATATTTATTGAACTGAGAGCAAATTCCATGGAAGTTTCCCCTATTGCATCTCCTATAACTCACAGAAGCAATATTATCCTTATCTAGACTGAAAGTTCTAGAAACATACTTATTATATCTATTTGTTTCCTATGGGAACTCTCTAGGACATGGAAGGACTTTAATAATTAATGATGGAATGAGGCACTCAGTAAATTAATCAAAATGATTACTCTATTAAAGACACTTTTTAAAAGTATACTTTGGTTTAGTGTTAATTTTAGTTAAAAACGCCTGTAAGTACTAATGTGCTAAGGAATGATCTAATTTTTTTAAAATAGTAACATATCCCCATTCTGAATTAAGATTACTTGGTTAAGTGTTGATCTACACAAAATCAGTAAAGGTTGATTTCTGAGAGCTCCATTAATTCATTAATTCTTTTCTTAAGATTTTTTTTTTTCTCTAAGGTGTGTGTGCTTGTTGGAGAGACAGAGAGACAGAAGGCAAGAAATAATCCCCCAGGAGGGATGCCGCAATCCTTTCTCCCCCACTCTCTCTTCAGGATTTTGGGCATGCAAGCACACATGCCTGGCATATTTAAAACTGGCAGGCGGGCCCAGGACTTGAACTGTGCTAGACTACATGGGAGTCCAGCGATGTAACCATTATGCCATCTGCTGGTCTTGAGCTTCATAAATTCTAACATCTGATATATCACATCCACTTCAGGTTGTTTTATTACAGATCCAATTAATGTGCCATAGTTTATTTAAAATGTCAACATTTAAGAAGTTTCCATTTTATAATCACAAAATTCTTCCACAGTTTTTGAAGCAAATTTATTGCAAATGGTAAGTTACTCCTACTGGGAATTAAAATAGAACACCAAGATACTGTAGTAGAAACCCATATTTTATTTCAGGACTGAAGTATTCTGAAAAATGCGGTCAGACTTCAGATTACAGTGTGCATTTGATACGTGCTATCCAGTACTCAGTTATGTATCCATGATGTTCTATTCCAAGGGAGGGAAGATCCCTATCCGGTGGACATCACCAGAAGCGATAGCCTACCGCAAGTTCACGTCAGCCAGCGACGTGTGGAGTTACGGGATCGTTCTCTGGGAGGTGATGTCGTACGGAGAGAGACCATACTGGGAGATGTCCAATCAGGATGTAAGTGTTTGTCGGCTATGAGTTATGGATTCCGATGAAAAGATCAAGCTGTGTAAGAAAGAGGAGCATAATGAAACCAGGTGGCTCCTAGCTTGTCACATTGAAATAGAATACTTAGAAGAAAGGAAACCGTTTTCCAAGACTTGGAAAGATTAATTGAATTGTTCTTACAGTTTTCCATGCGTCTCTCAAGTCAGGGTTTAGAAATAAAACAAAGTGAAATATTTATTATAAAAATGTAATAGAATAAGTGACCGATAAGATAACCAATAGATATCAGGGAATATTTCATGTATTTTTGCTCTTAAAAATAGTTTCTATGTAATATTAGTAAAATACTATCTTTCCTTGATTTAATTACTATAACTATTCCAACATATTTACTTAAATACTGTTTTCCCAAAGTCTGACAAAAATCACCAATCTCTATTAGAGTTTCTAATAATACGTTAAATTGTACATGAATTTAGTTACACACATTCAAATCTCTGTATACAGAAAATCTGGCTTCCTACTATTATAAGTTTGGCATAATTTTTCAAAAGAAATGATGTTTTTGTATGTTATGTTTTGCTAATACTTGGTAAAAGGTTGCTATTGGCATTCGGGATCAGCACTCAGAGATTTATCTTTCTGCTGAGCCAAAATCTCCACGCATGTCCCCATAGATACACAAGAAGGCAAGTTGAGATGGTTTTAGTCATTTTCCATTCACCACTTATAAAAATGCCTTTGATGTATTTTGAGATATAAATTTTTCTGTACTTCAAACATGCTATTTTTTATAATAAGTCTGGGAAAATCAGACTCACTTTTTCACATCTCTATTTTATAATTTTTCTCTATATCGAAGGGTTTCAAATTATTTTCTCTGAACCAGCAACTTTAGCCCCGCCTCAGAATTTGCTAGGAATGCAGATTCTCAGCCCTACTCCAAACTTGGGGTATCATAAACTTGAGAGGACAGAGGATAGTTCTCTGTATATTAATATGTCCCCCATATGATTCTGATGCACATTAGGTTGAAAGTCACTTCTTAATAATGTTTAAAACAATAAAAAATAAATAGTTAATTGTGCAACACTTATTACTTGACCAAAGAAAATCACTGTGATTTGGAAGGGACCATTTGAACTGTGATGTAACTAAAATCTGTACACTAATTTTCATTTAGACTTCATTCATATAGATACACCTTCATGTATTAATCTCCATAGAGACCCGTATCACCAAATAATAATTTCTCTATAACATCACATTTCTTATATCATTGAATGTTTATTTCCATTTTATCTGGAAATGAACTTTATAAAAACTTTTTTGCTATGGGACCAGCAGATGGCATGCTGATTGAGAGCACAGGACTCCCACATGGCCAACCATGGTTCTAGTCCTGGCTTGCCAGATTCTCAGCCCTACTCCAAACTTGGGGTATCATAAACTTGAGAGGACAGAGGATAGTTCTCTGTATATTAATATGTCCCCCATATGATTCTGATGCACATTAGGTTGAAAGTCACTTCTTAATAATGTTTAAAACAATAAAAAATAAATAGTTAATTGTGCAACACTTATTACTTGACCAAAGAAAATCACTGTGATTTGGAAGGGACCATTTGAACTGTGATGTAACTAAAATCTGTACACTAATTTTCATTTAGACTTCATTCATATAGATACACCTTCATGTATTAATCTCCATAGAGACCCGTATCACCAAATAATAATTTCTCTATAACATCACATTTCTTATATCATTGAATGTTTATTTCCATTTTATCTGGAAATGAACTTTATAAAAACTTTTTTGCTATGGGACCAGCAGATGGCATGCTGATTGAGAGCACAGGACTCCCACATGGCCAACCATGGTTCTAGTCCTGGCTTGCTTTCTCACTTTGTCTCTCTCTCTCTTTCTGTTCCTCTCTGATCAAATCAAAATTAAATAAAGTTAAATCAAATAATTCCCCCCCAAATTCTTTTCTAAATAAACTTTCCTTCTCTTGATCTTTATTTTTAGACAGAAATATATTCTAATTTAGTTGATCAGCTGTTATTCTTTTAGGTAATTAAAAATGAGAACTGTTTTACTTAACTTTTAAGTTAAATGCTCACATTAATATGCTTTGCCATGAAGATGCATAAATATAATAAGTCCCATCTCTAAGTCTCTGGAAACTTTGTTTTTCGCACGCAGGTAATTAAAGCTGTGGACGAGGGCTATCGACTGCCACCCCCCATGGACTGCCCAGCTGCCTTGTATCAGCTGATGCTGGACTGCTGGCAGAAAGACAGAAACAACAGACCCAAGTTTGAGCAGATTGTCAGCATTCTGGACAAGCTTATCCGGAATCCCGGCAGTCTGAAGATCATCACTAGCGCAGCAGCAAGGTGACCTAGGTTTTGCGTCCCATACTCATTTTGAAACACATGTGTTTACTCTCTCTGTGGTGTTCATTTTTTTTCACTCTCTCAAATGCATTCTTTGAGACTTGGATTCCTGAAGACTGGGCAATGTGTTTCCTTTTTTGCTTTCTTTATTTCTCTTTCTTCTTTCTCTCCTTTTCTTTCTTCTTTTTTTTTTTTTCTCTTTTAGATGAGTTCTTATGCTCCTTCACATTAATGATGAAATTTTGAGATATTTTTCAGTTTCATTGTTGACTAGAGTTGATTGAATATTCAAAGCTTGTTTTAAGTCTCTGGGAAATGGGAACTGGATATTTATTTTCTTTTCACACTCCATTATCTAAAAAATAAAGTAAGTTCCTGCGGTAGTGAGAAATTCAAGTAGAGTCTAAATTCATTATTTAAGATAAAGCTTCAAAAAAGGATATTAATAATGAATGCAATTCCTTCCCACTTGAACAAATCATGGTCTAACCTTATATTAGGTGCCAATTACTTTGCTAGACCATGTGAAGGATCAAATTCAGAGTAAAAAGCAAAATTCATATCTTGACAGTCACGCAAATGTAAATACATCATACATATAAATCCATTCATAACGCAAAGACCATTAAACTGTATGCATTCCCTTCCCAGTCAAGAACAGTGAGTTCTCTCAGTGATATTGAAGGATGTCAGCTACAATGCACCTAGAAAGTACAATGAAAGAAATAAGAGAGAGAGAATTTTTTTCTAGGGCCATGGTGGGAAAAATATTAATGTATTTTGGGCATCTTGGAGAAATTAAAAATTAAAATCTGTGTAATAATGTAGCTTCTCACTGTACGCATAAGAGAAAAACAGATCTCTTGACAACCGTGCATTCTCACAGACTTTTAATGTTTTATTCTGGTTTTTGATATGAACTAGTACATATGTTGCACTTACAAAAATATGTCTCCTGATAACTAGAGGCAGAAGTATTTCAGACCTATTTGGGACTTTTGGCTGTCTGGCTACTCACTCAATGGCTTTACTACAAGTGGCACCAATGATAGCTAATAGGTGCAATGGGGTTTTCTTGGTAATCTTGACTTGTGAACTATTCATACCAATATGAATCTCTGTATAACCACCAATTGTTTCTTGACATCCAATCTCACTTATGCTATTTCAAATTTCCATTAATCCTGCCCTGCCCTGTTGTTTTCATTGCTATAAAGCATAACTACAGTTAGAATTCAATGGATTAAAAATTCCTTGCTTCTGCTTCTTTATCTTTTTTTTTTTTTTTTTGAGAGGTTTTTGCTATATGGCATGTGTGCTTGCCAGAAAGACAGAGAGAGACAGAAAGCGAGAAATCACCCCAAGGTGGGATGGCCATGCCGAAATCCCTTCTCCTCCATTCTTCTCTTGGGATCTTGGGCATGCACACACATGCACCCAGTGTGAGTTTAAGCCACTAGGTCCGGGACTTGAACCATGATCAACTACATGGGAGTCCAATGACATAGTCATTACACCAACTGTTCGTCCCTGCTTCCTTAGTTTTCTACTTGAAGATCAAGTAGTGTTTATGAGTGAGTGTGTGTGCTTCTGTGTGTGTGTGTATAGATACATTAAAAAGTTCAACTAATTATGTTTTTGTATCAGTTTTTAAAATAAGTATTTTAATGTAGTATTTTTAAAAAATAGATTGCTTTTGTTGTTGTTGCCAGAGTGAACGTGTGTTCACCAGAGAGGGAGAAAGAGAGAAAGTATTTCCTCAATTGAGTGTGGTCACACCTCAATACTTTTTCTCCCATTTCTCTGTCCCATTAGGATTTATGCATATATAATACCCAGTGCATTTTGTAAGTTGCTGGGACTGGGATGTAAACAATGGTTGATCATGTGGGATCTAGCTCCCTATACATGACACCTATGCTCTAGGGTTAACTTTTAATGCAGTGTTTTTGGAAATCAAAATTATAGGACCACAAAACCCACAGTGAATGAAATATCAAAATTTTAAACAGAGACAGAATGTGACAGTGTCAAGCCAAGCCAAAATTGGAGCTTAAGGCAAAAGGAGAAATTGAGCGTCTCCTTCTACATGTTTGTGTGAATTTCTTTTTCTTCAGCTCTATTGAAGTATAATTGGCAAATAAAAATTGCACATATTCAAGTATAAATTGGGATGTTATGATATATGCGTATATTATAAAATGATTTTCATTAGCAATCTAATTAACATATCCATCATCTCATGTAGTTACTTTTATTTGTGGTGAGGTAACTTAAGATCTACCCTCTAAGCAATTTTCAAGTATGGAGACAACGCTATTTTCTATAGTTGCCATGCTATGCATGAGGGCTCCAGAACTTACTCAGCCTATAGTGGCAAGTTTGTGCCCTCTGAACAATATCTCCCCATCTTCCCTCTACTTGACCCTCAGTAATCACTCTTCTACTCTGTTTTTATGAGTTGGACTTTCTTTTCTAGACTCTACATATAAGATCATGCAGGATTGTATTCCTATGATAAGTTCATTTTACTTGACATAATATTATCCAGCTTTATCCATGTCATCATAAATGGCAAAACTTCCTTTTTTAAATGGAGGTCGCCTAATATTTCATATGTATGTGTATATGTATATGTATATGTATATGTATATGTATATGAGAAGGCTTCAAAATTTCATGAAAACTCCATATTGTGATGAAATTTTGAAGCCTTCTCATATACATATACATATACATATGAGAAGGCTTTGGGATCTAGCTCCCTATACATGACACCTATGCTCTAGGGTTAACTTTTAATGCAGTGTTTTTGGAAATCAAAATTATAGGACCACAAAACCCACAGTGAATGAAATATCAAAATTTTAAACAGAGACAGAATGTGACAGTGTCAAGCCAAGCCAAAATTGGAGCTTAAGGCAAAAGGAGAAATTGAGCGTCTCCTTCTACATGTTTGTGTGAATTTCTTTTTCTTCAGCTCTATTGAAGTATAATTGGCAAATAAAAATTGCACATATTCAAGTATAAATTGGGATGTTATGATATATGCGTATATTATAAAATGATTTTCATTAGCAATCTAATTAACATATCCATCATCTCATGTAGTTACTTTTATTTGTGGTGAGGTAACTTAAGATCTACCCTCTAAGCAATTTTCAAGTATGGAGACAACGCTATTTTCTATAGTTGCCATGCTATGCATGAGGGCTCCAGAACTTACTCAGCCTATAGTGGCAAGTTTGTGCCCTCTGAACAATATCTCCCCATCTTCCCTCTACTTGACCCTCAGTAATCACTCTTCTACTCTGTTTTTATGAGTTGGACTTTCTTTTCTAGACTCTACATATAAGATCATGCAGGATTGTATTCCTATGATAAGTTCATTTTACTTGACATAATATTATCCAGCTTTATCCATGTCATCATAAATGGCAAAACTTCCTTTTTTAAATGGAGGTCGCCTAATATTTCATATGTATGTGTATATGTATATGTATATGTATATGTATATGTATATGAGAAGGCTTCAAAATTTCATGAAAACTCCATATTGTGATGAAAACAAGTCATGGATTCAAAATATTTTTTGCACCAAAATAAATTGATGCTTTAATTATATTTTCCATGAATTGTTTGCAGCCCCCTCCCATATATATAATTGTTTGTTCTTCATGTGTGTGTGTGAGTGTGTGTGTGTGTGTGTGTGTGTGTACTGATCACATTGTCTTTACTCAGTCATCCATTGATGAACACTTAGACTGTTTCTATATCTTGGATATTGTAAATGACATAAACATGAGAGTGCAAATACCTGTTTAAGACAGTAATTTTATTGTCTTTAGGTATACACCCAAAAGTGAGGTCACTAGATCATATGGTAGTTTTATATTTACTATTTAAGGAAACTCCATACAGTTTTCCATGTTCACTGTACCAATTCACATTCTCATTAACAGCGTTCCTTTATATTCACATCCTTGCCAACACTTCATATCTGTTGACGTATTCATAACAGTCATCCTAACATGTGTAATAATATCTCAATGCAGTTTTGACTCAAATTATGATTCATGATGTTGAACATATTTCCATATATCTGTTGGCCATTTGTAAATCTCCCTTGGAAAATTATTTGGTTCAGTCCTTGATGCAATTTTTAATAAGATTATTTGTTTATTTGCTTGTTTTGATATTGAGCTCTATTAGTTTCTTATGTAATTTAAATACTAATCTTATTTTCAGTACATCACTTGTAATTATTTTTTCTTTTCTATGGATTGCTTTTTCATTTTGTCGATTATTTCCTTTGCTTTGTAGAAACTTTTGGTTCAATGTAGTTCTATTTATTTATTTTGCTATTGTTGCATGTGTTTTGGTGTTATAGCTAAAAATTGTTGCCAAGATTAAGTTCATGGATATTTAATGCTATTTTTTCTAAGTCCTTTATAGATCAGATATTAAATTTAAGTCTTTAATTCATCTTGAGTTGATTATAGTGAGTATTACATAATCCTGTTTTTTCATTATATTCATCAAAGATAAGTATGGGAAATTTGAATCAAAGTTCAGGGTATAAGAATCATAGTTTATTTGTTGCCAATAACATTTAAGAGTCTCTAAAATTTAATTTAGTGATAGGTTTTTAAATAAAACTACTCATAACTTATCTCAGAAGGATGAATCTCTGTCCTAAATGTCACAGAAAGAGATAGTACAGGTTCTTTAGGAATTCATTTGACAGTTTAACAACTAACAGGACAACAAATCTGTCCTTCCCTGGCCATACGGTCTTCGTTTTACATCCTAAGCTGTTTCTTTTGATCTTTTTTAGAGAGTAATCAAAGAAAAGAAAAACATTTTTTCAGTTTTTTTCCATATCATAAAAAAGACATCTAAGCCATTTCCATGGGATGTATTATCATTATAATGCTAACTTATGTAATTTGATCTAAAGACATTTAAACCTAAGATCAGATCATAGTATGTCAGGATAT